GAATTCCCACTTTGGAGTTCAATTCTAGATTCATATATAGTATCAATTGTTGATCAAGCAATCAAATAATTAAGCGCGAGATTGAATAAATAAATCAATACGATAAATCAAGAAATAAAAATCAATAGTCGAATAACAATATTCATGAAGAACCACGACCCTAGAACGTGAAGTTTAGCTCTACATAGACATGGTAACCACACAACAAATCATACAAAGAAACATAAAAACTACTAAGTATGGTAGAAGAAAAGACGAAACACGTCTTCCACGGCGGTTCTGTGCTCTTCCTTGGTCAAAATTTCCTCTCAAAAATGTCCTCCCCTCCAAAATAGGTTTCGAACCTCTTTTATAAAAGTTGGGACAGTGTAGGGCCGAAATAAGCTTGTCTCGGCCGAAACAGAAAAAATCCCGCAATGCAGAGCGCTACAAGCACTACAATTTTCCGTTTTCATGTTCAAATTCCTTCTTCACTTCAAATTTTATTTCCCCTTTTTATTGTCCTACACTGGGGGGTGTCCCCCGTTCGTCTCCTCTCTTTTTTATTCTTTTAATTTCCTTTCTTTTTCTTGTGCGTTTTATTCAACTTTGTTCCAAATTTCTTCACTTTTACATTGCTTTATTCCTACACAGTTAAAATATAATATTAAGCATAAAATCATATAATTAGTACTCAAAAGACGATTAAAAGTAATAGACCGTGAGGCAATAATGATTAAATATATGCATTTCTTAGCCGAACATCACCACCCCACACTTAAGCTCTTGCTCGCCCTCGAGTCCACCAACAATTCACACTATTCTTGAGCACTTTATATTTAATACATTTGAAGCATTCAACATACAGCTCCCTTTTTCTTATGCCATTCTTCAAAAGAAATATTCACAACAAAGACAACATGTTCATGACAATCCTAGCCTCAAAAACCGATTCAATGTCACAATGCACTCATGGGTTGAATACCCAACATCATAGAGAAGTCTAATAACGTTACCTATCCCTCGTGAAACCATGTGCCCTTACAACAAGAACAAGAGAGTAAATTGAATCCACACATTCAAATCAAATGCTGAAATATATTTTAAGGACTCACATATATCAAAGAAAATTCCTCACTCTCACAAAGAAGGCACATGCATGCAATTGGTACCATAGGCTTGCCCATAATGTAAATCTTACTAATGTAGGCTCGCTTGATGTAAAATGAATTAGGACTTTTTCATGGATGTAATGTGGGCTTAGGGACGGGTAGGATATATTTGTGAATAGTACTTCACTCTCCTAAGCATTTAACATATCACATAATAAACTTTAAGCACAAATTGTTCAATCCACTTCAATTTCACAAACAAGATCACTCCAAAAAATATGCCCTCTTTCTTTAAGCACTACTTTAATTCAATTTATTCATCTACATTCTTCTCTTGTTTCTTTTTACATTTCGTTTTTTTTACTGTTGTTTTTCCCTTTTCAATTTCCGCTAGTGGTGTATTATTTTGCAAAATAAGTGCACCTTTCTTTCTTTCATTGGTTCCACTCGAAAGCCACCCGAAATTCTCTCCTTACTTCTTCTCACACTCATTTCATAATTAAAGTGCCTTAAGAGGTAAAATGATCAAAATAATATAAACTAAGAACAAAAGGAATATTGGCTTGTAATGTTGGTGCCAAATAAAAGTCTATAGGCTCAAAAGGGTTAAGTATGGATAGATTTTATTTATGATACATATTAAAACTCAAAAAGATCAAAGAAAGCCTAACTTAATTTTCAAATCGAGCATCACCTCAAATGTCGCTTCAACTCACATACCGAGCAACTTCTAGACACAAGTACGATACAAGGACTACACAAAAAGCTCACTTCACATACGGCACATGACTCACTAGGGACGGTCTCATTCAAACTCTCAAACTAATGCAAGTACCCACGGAGCCACGAGTTATTAAGTATTAAGCACAAAGTGAACAATAATCAAGTAAATGAAACATAGGCATCAATAACATGCTATCCAACAAGCGCCTCGGTTTATCTGATTTATTGGTTGACGGGGTTAATATTGCTCATAAGAATATGTCGATCTCCTACTCGCCTATTCAACTTAACCTAACGCCTATATGTCTATAGAGTTAGAATCGACAACAACGCATTTATAATTCCCGTAAAATAACCAACCGAGGCAATTAGCATATGTCTATCCTAACAGCGAATCTATTCCCCGATGACCAGGTTCAATAACTTGCTCTATGCAATCCTATGTGCAATCTAGAATTCTCACTTTTGAGTTCGATTCTATATTTGTAGATAGTATTCAATTGGTGATCAAGCAATCAAATAATTAAAGGCAAGATTGAATAATAAACCAATACGGTAAATCAAGAAATCAAAATCAATAGTCGAATAACAATATTCATGAAGAACCACGACCCTAGAAAGTAAAGTTTAGCTCCACATAGACATGATATCCACACAACAAATCTTACAAAGAAACATAAAAACTACTAAGTATGGTAGAAGAAAAGATGAAACCCGGCATCCACGGCAGTTCTGTGCTCTCCTTGGTCAAAAGTTCATCTCAAATACGTCGTTCTCTCCAAAATAGGTTTAGAACCCCTTTTATACAAGTTGGGACCGTGTAATGCCGAAATAACCTTGTCTCGAGCGAAATAGAAAAAAAAATCCCGCAACACAGTGTCCGGTCCAGCTCGTTGCGCTGGCCTTAGCGCTAGAAGCAGTACGTTTTGCCGTTTTCACGTTAAAATTCCTTCTTCACTTCAAATTGTATTTTCCCTTTTTATTGTACTACACTTGGGGGGACAAACCTCAAAGGGTGTCCCCCCATTGCCTCCTCTTTTTTTATTCTTTTAATTTTCTTTCTTTTTCTTCCGTATTTTATTCAATTTTATTTCAAATCTCCTTCATCTTCACACTGCTTTATTCCTATACAGTTAAAATACAATATTAAGTATAAAACAATATAATTAATACTAAAAAGACGATTAAAAGTTCGAGAACATGAGGCAATAATGGTTAAATATATGAATTTTTTAACCGAACATCAGTATATTGAGTCGGTTGTACTCTACTACACTTCTGCACCTTGCATGCAGATCTTGGAGCTGAGCTGTTGTGGATGACGAAGGCTAGCATTAAAGATTTACCTGTGTTCCAGATATAAGCTACCACTTGTTCTTGGTAGTTTACGATTTGTAATTATGTTTATGTAAACTTCAAAGAGATATTGTATTTATTCTTCATACTAGCTTTGTAAATCTATATCTTAGTGGTTCTTGACTTGTACTACCAATCATTGGGTAATTATATGGATTTTCACCTTAATAACTATTGTTATTGATGATCTATCATTTGAGTTGTGTTATTCATTGCTTGTCTTACCTAGAATGTTGGGGTTAGGTGCCATCATGACTAGGTGGGATTTTAGATCGTGACAGACTGTCCGTCAGTATGTGGGTAAAATGCAATGCTAAGCTCCACCTGCATGCCCAACTCTTGCTAAAAAGCTCTCTAGAAGTGCAATATGAACTGCATACCTCGATCCGATATGATAGAAACATACACACCATGCAAGAGGACAATCTCTCTAGCATAGATCTGGGCCAACTTCTCTGAAGTGTAAGAAGTCATGATCGGAATGAAATGCGCAGACTTGGTCAGTCTATCCATAATGACCCAAACAACATAAAACTTCCTCAAAGTTCGTGGCAATCCTACCAAAAAGTCAATAGTAATGTGCTCCAACTTCCACTCTGGTATGTCTATCATCTGAAGCAAACCATCGGGTCTCTAATGCTAATACTTTACCTGCTGACAATTCAAGCAAGATGAAACATGCCTACAAATGTCCTTCTTTATCGTACGCCACAAATAATGTTGCTTAAAATTATTATACATCTTTGAAGCACCTAGATCAATAGAATACCTCGAACCGTGAGGCTCCTCAAGAATCAAGTCCTTCAAGCCATCCATATTAGGAAAACGAATATGAACCTGAAGTCACTATGCACCATCATCACCAATGAGCACCTCCTTAGCACCATCTCACAACACTGTATCTTTAAGGACAAGGAAATGTGGATCATCATACTGACGAGCCTTAATGCGCTCAAACAAGGACGACTGCATAAAAACACAAGCAAGCACTCGGCTTGACTCAGAAATATCCAATCTCACAAATCTATTAGCCAAAGCATGAACATCCATAGCCAAGGACCTCTCCTTTGTTGGAATAAATTCCAAACTTCCCATACTCTCTGTTTTTCTACTCAAAGCATCCGCCGCCACATTCGCCTTCCCCGGATGATACAAGATAGTGATATCATAATACTTCAACAACTCCAATCACCTTTGCTACCTCTAATTCATATCCTTTTGCTTGAACAAATGCTATAGACATTTATGATCGGTGTAAACCTCACATGACACACCAAACAAGTAATGCCTCCAAATCTTAAGTGCATGCAGAATACCTGATAACTTCAAATCATGAACCTGTTAATTCTTCTCATGGGGCTTTAACCTCCATGATTCATAAGCGATCACCCTACCATCCTGCATCAAGACCGCACCAAGACCAATGCAAGAATCATCACAATGTACTGTGTATAACCCTCAACTTGTGGGCAACACTAACACTGGAAGCGTAGTGAAAGTAGTTTTGAGCTTCTAAAAGCTCTTCACACTCATCAGACTATCTAAAAAGAATGCATTTCTGAGTCAACTTGGTCAATGGAGCAGCAATAGATGAGAACCCTTCTACAAAACGACAATAATAACCAGCCAAACCCAAGAAAATTCTTATTCCTGTAGTTGTAGAAGGTCTAGGAGAACTTTGAACTACCTCAATCTTATTTGGATCCACCTAGATCTCATCTCTAGACACCACGTGGCCCAAGAATGCCACTGAATCTAACCAAAAATCACACTTGGAGAACTTAGCTGCAACTTGTTCTGCCTCAAAATCTGAAGTACTACTCTCAAGTGTTACTCATGCTCCTCCCTACTACGAGAGTAAACCGGAATATCATCAATGAACACAATCACAAAAGAATCTGAATAGGGCTTCAACACCCGATTCATCAAATCTATGAAAGCTACTGGGGCATTAGTTAAACAAAAAGACATCACCAAAAACTCATAGTGCCCATCACGAGTCTTGAAAGTTATCTTAGGGATGGGTGATGCCCTAATCTTCAACTGGTGGTAACCTGATCTCAAATCATTCTTGGAGAATACCCTGGCAACCTGAAGTTGACCAACCAAATCATCAATACAAGACAATGGATACTGGTTCTTGATATTAATCTTGTTCAATTGTCTATAATTAATACACATCCTCATGGAACCATAAATCTTCTTTACAACCAACATCGGTGCACCCCAAGGAGATACACTAGGCCTAATGAACCCCTTATCCAACAACTCCTACAACTGCTCCTTCAATTTTGTTTCAACTCAGTTGGAGCCATGCGATATGGTAGAATATATATGGGTTGACTGCTTAGCACCAAACAAATACAAAAATCAATATTCCTATTAGGTGGCATGCCCAGTAGGTCAATAAGAAATACATCGAAAAACTCCATCACCATAGGGACTGAATCAACATTGGTAGTCTCAGCACTAGTATCTCTAATAAAACTCAGATGTGCCAAACACCCTTTCAACCATCCACTAAGCCTTCGGAAATGAAATCACCCTACTAGGAGTATGCCCAAGAGAATTCCTCCATTCTAATTGTGGTAACCCTAGCATAGACAATGTCACAATCTTGGTGTGACAATCAAGAATAGCATGATGTGGGGATAGCCAATCTATACCCAAAATCACATCAAAGTCTACCATGTTCAGCAACAGAAGATCAACCCTCGTGTCATAACTCCGCATAGGAACACAAGATCGATATACACAATCCACCATGATAGAATCACCAACAATTATTGATACATGAATAGGAATATCAAGAGAACAACGAGACATGTCCAACTAGGGAGCAAAAAATGGTGACACATATGAATAGGTAGACCCCAGATTGAAAAACATAGAAGCATCTCTTTGACAGACCAAAACCATACCTGTGATCACTACATCTGAGGCTGCCGCCTCTGGCCTACCCGAAACAGCACAGTAACGAGCTTGATTACCATTGGTCTATCCACTTCCAACCTTGCCCCCTCCTCTAGGATTTCCTTTGGCTGCCTGACCTCCCCATCTACCTAGTGGAGCCGGGGGTGAAACAACTAGTGTGGGGACCACAAACTGAGAAATATGCAGGGTTGCCCCCTAGCAAGTCTAGGACAATATCTCCTCACATGGACAAACTCTCTACATTCATTGCAACTAGTTGCTGGAGGCTGCTGAACTTGCATCTCCCCTTGATGGCACGAATACCTGCTAGAAGAACCCTAAACGGATGGAGCATGGTAGGAACTCACTATATGAGCACTAAAACAAGATGGAACTGGAGTGCGAAACGATGGTTGAGACACTGCAGCCCTGGCTACCTGTTGTATAGAGTAAGTTGGCCTACTATGCTAGCCCATACAAAAATTAACCCTACCTCTAGATGAGGTACCACTAAGACTACTAGAATGACGAGGCCTTTTGTCCCTTATCATAACCTCTCTCCATAATTACGAATACACTCAATCCTCCGAGCTATCTCCACAACCTGGTGAAAAGTAGTACCAGTTTCTAACTCTAGGGCCATAGCAATCCTGATACCATAAGTTAACCCCTCAATGAATCGTCTCACCTTATCTGCCTCCGTGGGGATCAAGAAAGCAGCATGACGAGACAGCTATGTGAACCTCGTCTCATACTCAGTCATAGTCATTCAATCTTTTTGAAGGCGCTTAAACTGACCTCTTAACTCATCCCTCTTGGTATGTGGGATGTACCTCTCTAGAAATAAGTCTGAGAAATGAGTCAAAGAAAGAGGAGATAAACTTGTTGGCTTACCAGCTCATACGTCCACCACCATCTCTTAGCAGCCCCTCTCAACTGGAATGTAGTGAAGTCCCCCTTGGACATTACCAAGGCCAAAATATGTAGAATCTGATGGCATATATCTAGAAAGTCCTTGGCATCCTCTGAAGCGTCACTATAAAGGTGAAGAGGATGTAGCTTTTGAAATCTCTCAAGCCTCTTCTATTTCTCAGTATTCATAGCAGGCTCAACCACAAGTCTAGTAACCATAGGCCGTTTGACGCCAACTGGAAATGCTCTCGACATCTGAACCACCGCCGCTACCTTCTTTTGGGTGCGAGTGATAAGGGTTTGGGCTTCCCCTCCAGCCTGATATGTGGTTGGGGCCACTAGACCACTCCAGAATGAGTCACGACATTAATAATGTTGCCTATCTTGGCCTAGCCTCATGGAATACTGGTGCAACAATAAAACCCTATGGATGTTGAGTGTGTACTGTTGACACCCAATTTTTTCCTATATATTTTCAATATGCAAAATAACTTCAGAATGGCACATATATGCATATGTAAGCATATTCAAGTGTTTTATTATTTTTTCCATAATTTTTGAGGTTTTTAAATCAATTTATTTCCCTTTTTTATCCATAAAACCCAATAATCATTTCCAAAATTATTATTTTTTGGTAATTCATCTATTGGATTTTCATCTTTGTGCCAAGATATAGCTAAGGTAATTTTTACAGGTTTTTACAATTTTGTTTAGTATTTTTAAAAGCTAATTGCACATAATTGCAATATTAGCCTTTTTAAGATTTAATTGTGTTTTATATTCATAAAATTAAGTCCTGTATTTTTAAATTGTTAGTTATATGCTATAAATTATTTTAGTGCTTTCAATTTATTTCCAGAAGTTAATTTCCTATTTTTTATAATTTTAAAAGGGGAAAATTGGCTATTTAAATAATAGCCCAATTACATTTCAATTTTAGCCTAAATCTGATCCCAAACTAAACCCAATTTCCCGGCCCAATTCCCATTCAGACCCGATCCCTAACCCAATTAAACGACCCAACCCGGACTCCCTACCTAACCATTTCAATCCTGGTCGTTGATCATTTAGATCAACGGCCACTATTCGCCCTTTCCATTTTAACCTTAAACGACCCCTTACCCTACCTCATTCATCACCAAACGCCGCCCTTGAATCCCCCTTCTCTCAATTCTCTCTGAAACCTCACCTGAACCCTAGCCGCCGCCATCTAATCCCACCCTAATACCTTCCTAATCCATGGCCCCTCGTGGTCATTTGAGACATGTATCAGCCTCTTATGGCTCCTGGGTGTTTGTTTCTGTGGTTTCATGGCCAGACCTCGAAGGGTCTGGTCCAGTCCTTGCTCGACTTTTGTTCATGGCCTTTCTCCGGCCATCCATGACCTTTCTCTGGCCATTCATGGCCGATCCTTGACTTTTTCTGGTTAGATCGTTCACTTTCAAAGTCTTTCTCGCTTCTTTTGGGTTTTCTGAAACCCTAGCTCTAAGACCTTTCAATTTTCTTTCAGATCTCTCTTAGATCTGTACTTACTATGAATTTCTTAAGTGTTTTCTCGAAGGTTCTTCAACTTTTCTTTCAAAACGACTCTTTATTTTTTCGACGATTAGGGTTTCCTTTAAGTTTTTCAAAAGATCTCTTCTCTGATCTCAATATTGTTTGTGATTTTGCTATGTTTAAAATGACTTGCTCATATTGTTCTTCTATCTATTTCAGCATGTTAAAAACCCTAGTTCCTTTAGTCTTATCCGAGTTCTGAAACTGTTTGTTTAAATGTGTACTTGTTCTTTGTTTCTGACTCTCTTTTCCTTGTTTGACTTGTTTGATTTTGAGTTCTTACCATCTCTTAAACTCGACTACTGCTGAAGCCCTAAATTTCTTAGAAGTTTTTCTCACTTATTACTACTGTGAGACCTTTACCTGTTTCTGATTTCTCTTACCTAATACTATGTTCTGCTTCACTGTTGATTCTATGTGACTACTTGACCTACTTGACTACTGTGCCTCGAATATTTTCCTTACTACTGAATCCTAGCTTATTTCTGCCACTACTGTATGTTCGTGTTATCTCTTTTGCCAATGTGTTTGGCCTCGCATGTCTGATGCTTCTGTTCACTCTATTTATATACTGAAGTTTCTTCCTTGATTGATCTTGATTTGGTGACTGATTGCAAAAGCATTTTCTTTATAAACCCTAATTTCACTCGCCTGTTTAAAATTAATTGATTCCTTTCCCTTTACTGTGATATTTTACCTTGCTGAATCCTTTCCCAAAATAAGCCTATTTTGTACTTAGACTTGATTGTTTACTTCATGCTTTTACTGCCCCTTATATGGCAATAATCAATCTGTCCCCAAATTGATTTCTTTCCTTAATTAAACCTGCTACTACCCGTTAAACAGTGATTCCTTAATTAAAGGGAATCACTTGTGTTAATTGATTCTGACTTGTGATTGTTTCCATGTTTGTCTTAAGACTTTACTTATTACCTTACTTATCACTCGTTTTCAAAAGCTATAAATACCCACCCCCTCTTCTTTCAAAAGACACGAGCAACTTGAGTTCAAAACACACACTTACACTTAAAACTCTCTCTTTCTTTACTGCTACTTGTGCTGTTGCTTTGTCTAGCCGGCTGAAAGCCAAGGCTAGACTGTGGACTCTTGTTTGCTTTACCTTTCTGCACTTTGCTTCTCTACTGGTATGTCCTAGTTTACTCTTTAAGTCTCAACAACAATATGTTTCTTTAAGTTGCTTCAGTCTCTCATTCATGCTCACTTCTGCCAATGTTTCTGTAGTCTATTTACATTACTAGCATGCTGAAATATGCTCCCTTCCCCTTTTAGATTAATGTTTCCCTATGTATGTACTCTGTCAGTCGCTTGTTATGCGATTTGCTGACTTATGAATCCTAAACCCCATATCCGCTCTATGTGTTTGTGTTCCTTAGGTTGGTTTGTGGGCAGGCCAGCATCATCTATTGCTGTGCATGACCAAACCTGCCCCTTTCTGGGGTCATATGCTTCATACAATGTATTCCCAAAACCCCTCGACCCTTTGTGTAACTACTGATTCTGGGTATTTTGAGCTCCCTACTATTTTTTTTTAAATCACCCTTTAATACTTACTATTTCCAACTCAGTTTTAATCAATTTCTGTCCTGCACTTCCACTATATTCTTAGAACCTAGGTTCTGCCCCTCTTGTGTGAGCCTTTCCTTGGGACCCTTGAGCTCCCTCTGAACTTGGACGCATAAGGGCTGGCCCTTCCACACTGCACTCATTTATGTCTGGTTATGCAGACCTGGGTGTAAGCACTGCCCGGGGTCCCTTGAGACCCTTAGGGAACTTTGACACACCCAGGTATGAGAAAGGCTTTGAACATCATGGGCATTTGAAGTGATTAATTTATAACTCACATAGGAAGTCAAGATCAGGCTTCTTTTGGTAGTAATTTCTTATTTCTGCACTTCTTTTGTAATTTAAGTATTTGGTCTGTAATAATTTATAACGAACATTGGGGTTGGCTAGTAAAAAGGGATGGGGCAATTATGCATGTTTTAAGGGTAGATCTCCTGCCTATAGGATCTGTTTAATAAATTCTGCATGTTTTACTTCCACACTTAGATATCATGCCTATAGGATCTGTTTAATAAATTCTGCATGTTTTACTTTCACACTTAGATATCATGCCTATAGGATCTGTTTGTAATTCTGCATGTTTTACTTCCACACTTAGACATCATGCCTATAAGGTTAAAATCAGCTTTGAAATTAGATGTCATGCCTGTAAGATTAAAATCAATATCTTTATAGAAATTATGCCTATAGGAATTTCGTTGTGGTCAAGTAATCCATGCCTACTCCACTTCATGATCAATTAGATACCATGCCTATAAGATTAAAATCAGCTATAATAGAGAGCATGCCTATAGGACCTAAAACCAGTTTAGTAAAAAAAAATCAGTTTGACTCGTACTGTTCTGAATCAGTTTAAACAACTTACTCCTTTTAGCAATACGGTTTAGAAAGCATGCCTATAGGATCCAAATTGCTCGTTTAGAATTGTTTACTGTTTTACTACACTCCTAATCAACAATAGATATCATGCTCCTAAGACATCACTATTACGCCTAGACAAGCCTTAGGTAATAATAATGATAAAATTTAATCCGCCTCTGTTTAATTAGCAACTGCTACAACCAGCAAGCAGGCCTGATTCGGACTTCTTATCTGAGCTACATAATGAATCTGGTTCTGACTCAAATCCCCTACCTTAGGATTTTTAAAATACAGACTTTAACTGTGTTTGAGTCGTGCTATTTATATGTATTATTTGCGGAGGACTGTATGAGCCTTCTAATTGCTTACATGTTTCCCCTTTGAATGTAGTCCTATGTGTTTTTGTATGTCGCCTTAGCCTTTTTACCTTTAAACCTAAGAGTCAGCCTAGATCATCCCTCTTATAAGAATAGTAGTCCTAAAATTCCTCCGGGATTGATAGGAATAGGATGGGTAATAGCACGCCATAGAGTTCGAGATCAATCCGCGCTTTAAATACCTTTACGGGGTGGGAAGGGTAGATATGGATATGATGACCGGTGCGCTAATACCACGTGTAGCCCCTCTTTTGAGGAGTGATTACCGGGTATTGCATTGATGTGATCCATATTACAAACAAACCTAGGACCCCCTTTACATTCATCAGTATGCTTAGTTATAGCTCTTTCAAAACTTTATTTTATTTAATCATTTTCAAACACTTGTGTATTTAATATCCCCTCTTATTTGAGCCTTGTTTGTTTATTTGTTAATTGCACAAACTCACAAAGAATTATCTGGCCGGAAACCACACTAGTGGATCTTGAGGGGTGCCTAACACCTTCCCCTTGGGATAATTTCAAGCCCTTACCCTATCTCTGGTTATCAAACGTAGTTGTAGTTGAACCCTATAGGTGCCCTAACGCACCTTAAAATCGTTAGGTGGCGACTCTTCAAAACTGCAAAACTCCTTTTCCAAAAGGAAAGAGTTGTCCTAACCAAAATGTCATAAA